CTGACACTCCCATGTCCCGAAACAGGCCCCCAGAGGCTGAAAAATCCTCGAGCGCCCCACATCGCCCCGCGCGCCGCCCCGTGGCGGGCAGGCGGGCGGACCACCCACGCGCGCAGGACGTTCTCCAGGCGCCTGCGGCCGTCGCTGCCCTCGGCGAAGAACCTCTCGGCGGTGGCGAGCGGCGCGCGCGCGCGCGGCGCGCCGACTGGCCTCCGCTCCGCCGGTGTCGCGGGCCCCGACCCTGCCCTCCGGGCCGCCCGCGAGTGGCTCGGCGTGCTGCTTCCCCTGCGGGAGCCCGCCGATTTCGCGGGCGCCTCGGGGAGCGCCCGGGAGCGCCTGGGAGTGCCTGGGAGCGCCTGGGAACGGCAACGAGCGAGCGCCTGGTGGCGCCTGGGAGCAGCAGGGAGCGCACGTCGGCACCTGAGAACGAGATTCGCGGGCCCCCAGGTTGCCCCACGAAGGCGGCCCAAGGGAGCCCCACCGCGACACCCAGTCGCGCCGCCCGCTCCCGCCAGACAGAAAGGACCAGAGAAGCGGGCGTCTGACGAACGGGCGGCAGGTGTCATCATCATCATCATCATCATCATCATCATCATCATCATCATCATCATCATCATCATCATCATCATCATCATCATCATCATCATCATCATCATCATCATCATCATCATCATCATCATCATCATCATCATCATCATCATCATCATCATCATCATCATCATCATCATCATCATCATCATCATCATCATCAACATCATCATCATCATCATCATCATCAACATCATCATCATCATCGTCGTCGTCGTCCTCATCATCGTCCTCATCATCATCATCACCATCATCATCAGCAGCAGCAGCAGCAGCACCATCATCATCATCATCATCATCATCATCAGCATCATCATCATCATCGGAATGGGCATCATCATCATCGTCATCAGCTTCATCATGAGCGTCGTCATCGTAATCGCCATCATTATCATCAGCATCCGCATCACCATTGTTAACAACATCAGCATCATCAACAACCTCATCATCAGCATCATCATCGACGTCGTCATCATCAGAACCATCATCCTCATCATCAGCATCACCATCATCATAAACATCATCATAGTCAGCATCAACATAAGCATCATCATCAGCATCAGCGTCAGCATCATCATCACCATCATCCTCCGCATCATCATCAGCATCAGCAGCAGCATCCTTTTCATCAGCATCAGAATTAGCATCGTCATCATCCTCAGCATCATCAGTTTCATCATCATCAGCAGCAGCATCATCACCATCACCCTGAGCATCATCCTGAGCATCATCATCATCAACATCTTTATCCTCGTCGTCGTCATCACAGTCGTCGTCATCAGAATCCTCATGATGGGCAATAACATTCGCATCATCATCGTCATCGTCACCGTCGTCTCCATCATCCGCAGTACCCCACTCGTGCAAGAGGACTCGTGGACAGTGGGCGAAGACGACCCAGTCGCGGCATGCCAGCACTGGTGGGAGTGAAACTCTGTGGGTATGGCGCTACAGGAGGGGTACGAGGAAGAAAAGAGCGGCGAGGGAGGAAGAGACAGGAGGGAATAGGGGGGAGGAAGAGATAGAGGAAAGAGGGAACAGGGAAAAGGAAGGCAGGGGGAGGGGGGGAAAACGACGAAAGAGGAACGGGCGAGGAGATTTGAAAGAAAGGATCACCGCTGCCCCACCCTCTCCGAGCGAGTAAGGAGGGAGGTCAGGGTAAGGAGCGATGGAGGAGGATCGAGGAATTTCCGTAAGAGGAGCGGAAGGTGGAGCTCTTGGCGAATGACATCTGCCCCATGCGCCCCCAGGCAGGAGAGAAGGCACAGAGGACGAGGGAGTAAGAACGAGGAGTGGAGGATGGAGGAGCGAGGGGGGTGGCGGCGAGCTCCCGCCGCCACGCACTCGCGAGGGAGCCCCATCTGCGTACAGGTGCGGTCCACGTCGAGCAGGAGCTGCCGCTCCTGAGGAAACCAGGGGCATGGCTTGATCGCCTCTCCTCCCTCCTCCTCATCCACTGTCCCTTCCTCTCCTCCTCGTCCACTGCCCCTCTATCCTCCCCGACCCCCCCTCGCTCCCACCCACCCACCATCCATCCCTCTCCTAACTTTTCGTCCTCGCCCCTTCCTCCCTCGCCGTTTTCATCCGTGCCCCGCCTCTGCTTCTCTCTCTCTTTCTCTCTCTCTCTCTCTTCCTCTGTCACCCTTTGCCGTCCGCTCTCCATACCGCCTCTCCTACCTCTTCACGCCATTCCTTCAGCTTGACCTCTTCTGGCAGAGCCCACGAACCGAAAACTCCTCGAGTCTCGCTTGCGCTCTGGGCGCGGGTGGTTCAGGGGGTCACCTGTCCATCCCCTTTCCCTATGCCCCTCCCCTGGGGCCTGGACCGCGGCTCTCCGAGGGGGTGGGGAGCCAAAAACTACGCCTGGGCGGCACAGGAGGGCAACCCGGAGGTGCAGCTCCTCCGAGGCGGGGGCGACGCAGCGGATCGGAGTCGGATCGGCGCCGCGACGGGCGCCGAGGGGGGGCCCTCCGCGGGCCGCGGCAGGGGCGTTGGCGGCGGCGCTGGCGGAGGCGGACCCAAGGGCCGTGCAGAGGCAGGACGCCACCGCGCATGCGGCCGGGGCGTGCCGTCGTCCTGAGGACCGAGCGACGAGGCAGAGGCAGGCCAGAGAGTGGCCAGGCAGCTGGGCCGCGTCCTGGACGGTGACTCGGACGGCCTCGAGGTCGGAGTTATGGATGCGGTGGACCACGGGCCCTTCCTACTTGGAGTGGGGCAAGGTCCAGATCTGCTGTAAAACATCGGAGCCTACCCGTGGTCAACCCTAATTAAACCCAGGCGCGCCTGCGAGAGACTGCCCCTGACCCGTGGTCGCGGGAGGGGCCCGCTGTGGCGCCGACCGCTGGGGCCTTGGGGCCACCCAGAGGTGGAGGGACCCGGGCTGCACCGCTCGATGTGGCCAGGAGCATGCGCCCGCAAGTGGCGATATACTCAACATAGAGAGACGACCGAAAAGGAACAGCGAAACTCGTGGGTGCTCGTCGGTTGACCCCCGCCCACCTGGAAGTGACCCACTGGAACGACGCTGCTTGCCGAGCTCGGCTGGGGAGGCCGGAGCCGCTGCCTGGGCCGGGGCAGGAGCGCCCCCCGCTGCCGGGGCACTCCCGACGCCCGAGGCACTCGGCGGCGCCCGCGGCGTCGCCGGAGGACGTCGCCGCACGAGGAGGGTGGGCGGATTGCCGCCGAGGTGCGGCACAGAAGGCAGCGGGCCAGTCGGAGCGCCTCGCGGCGCTGCGCCAGATCGCCCACGTGGGCCGCCCGGTGGCACGGTTGCCGTTCCGCGGTCTGCGCGCCTGGGGTCGCATGCAGACCCTGACGCGTTCCTCCAGGATCCTGGGGAAGTCCCACGGGGCCCCCCTGAGATGTGATTCGGATACTTTGATTCCTCGCGGGCGCAAGCGAAAGCGCAGGCGCCGAGTTGAAAAGTCCGGGCCACGGGCCGATCTAACTGACACGCGCGGGCGAGGCCGCCTACGGCGTGAGGAGGTGTGATTCGGATACGCGAAGAGTCGTTGGAATTTCGCGCGGGCTCCTGCGGACTTCGCGGGGATCCTAAGGATTACCACACGGACCCTATCGGGACTTCATCGTGCGCCTCAGGACTCCGCTCTCCAGTGCCTCGAAGAGCCACCCATCGCAGAACGGTGCCCTCGCCCAGGCGACGCAGCTAATGTGCGCGGAGCTCCCGCCTACGCTTAAGTCGGGCCTATCCCCCTACAGGGAGATATTCGACGAAAAATCACAAATAATCCAAAAATAGTCCAAAAATAGTCTGGGGACTATTTTTGGCCCATTTTTCGACCACTTGGGGGCATTTTTGGGGTACTTTTAATTTTTCGTCGAAAATCCCCCTGTAGGGGGACACGCCCGACTTGAGCCCACGCGCGCGCGCGCCGTCGCGGAGCGAAACCCCCGCCCGGTCGCGGAGCGAGGCCCCGGACGATGCAGCGCGCAGCTGGGCCACGCCCGCGCGAGGCCCGCGCCCCGCACGCGCGGCGACCCGCCGCGCAGCGAGGCGCCATCCCCGCTCGGCGCGCCCCGAGGCCCCCGCCGAGCAGCCGCGGGGCGAGGCCCGAGCCGAGGCGGTGCACGACGCGCCCCCCCCCCCCCCCCTCCGCGCTGACGGGGGCCGCACGGGAGCGGGCACGCGGCGGCGAAGAGTCAAGGGGCCCCAGGACACACAACTGAATACACACAAATAAGAGGTCTCCCCATATTTCCCATATTTTCCGGGTTTTTGTCTTCCCCCCCATTTCCCAGATCTTCGCATATTTTCCTGGGGATCGACGATTAATTGTGTCTGTGTTTTTTTTTCCCCTCCTGAAAGAGGAGAGACTGCCCCGCCGCGCGCCGGCGAGGCGCGGGCTGGGGGACGAGGCCCCCGGGGAGCGCCCCGCCCCCCCCAACCACCCTGACGAAGGGGGTGGGCCGCGCAAGCCCCCCTCGCCCTCGCTCCCTCCCCTCTGTTCCTGCCTGCTGGACGCCTTGGCTCTGCCATGACGCCACAGGGGAGCGTTGACGACTGGCGCAAGCGTGGGGCCGGAGCGCACCTCTGGTTTGCGGCGACTTGCCTCCAAGAAGCGTTCAAGCAAGCACTGGAGCGCAGTGGCAAATCAGTTGTGGCACAGGAGGCGCGCGCAGGGGTGAGAGCGCGCGGGCGGGGAGGCCCGAGGGGGAAGGGACCACACTGAGAGCATGCAGCCCGTTAGCGGGTGCCGGTGGCGTGCAAGTACAGCCCGAAGTCGAAGTCCCTGGAGAACGACCAGGCAAGGACACGAGCGGTCATGACGTCGACCCCCCGCAGTCTGGACCCTTTCCCGGGACCGGTTCTTCGTCCTGAGTCGTTTTTTGACGGCCCCGAGGGCCGGTAAGGGCCCCCAGAGGCCAAAAACAACGAAAAACCTCCCGTCGTGATTTTTTCATGACGCGAGGGGGTCTGGGCCTCTCTCTCTCTCTCTCTCTCCCCACACCTCCAACGCACGGGGCGGGGCCGCGCCTTGTCGGCGGGCAGGTGGGGCGAGTTGTGCTGGGCGGCCAGGAGGAGCTGCTCGTAGCGGCCGCGCTGCGCGATCGCCTCCGCGCCCGAGCCCAGACGGCAAAGGAGCCGAGGGATCGAAGCAGGGGGAGGAGGAGGAGGAGGAGGAGGAGGAGGAGGAGGAGGAGGAGGAGGAGGAGGAGGAGGAGGAGGAGGAGGAGGAGGAAGGAGGAGGAGGAGGAGGAGGAGAGAGGAGGAGGAAGGAGGAGGAGGAGGAGGAGGAGGAGAGGAGGAGGAGGAGGAGGAGGAGGAGGAGGAGGGGGGGGGGGAGGGGGGGAGGGAGTAGGAGGAGGAGGAGGAGAGGAGGAGGAGGAGGACGACGAGGAAGAGGAGGAGGAGGAAGAAGAGCAGGAGGAAGAAGAGGAAGAAGGGGAAGGGGGGAGAGAAAGAAGGAGGAGGGACGAGCAGAAGAAGACGGAGCAGGAAGAGATAGAGGAGGAGCAGGAGGAGGAGGAGGCGGAGGAGGAGGCGGAGGAGGAGGAAGAGGAGGAGGAGGAGGAGAAGGAGGAACTAGGGCCGTCGGGTGACCAAACCGCGAGACCCCTCCGGGGAACCGCCGCGCCCCTCCCCGGGTATGCCCTCTCAGGCTCCCATTGCAGGGTATGAGGCATGTAGCTGGTGTTTCCGTAGTTGCTGGTCGTGGTGCTAGCGTTGGTTGTGCTGTGTACTGCTGGCCGGTGCTGACGTAGCTGCTGTCTCGTGTGCCTTTTGTGCTCCTACCTGAGGTATGCCTCGCGGCCCCCCTTCTAGGTATGGTGCAGGCAGTGCGAGAGTGTTCTTGTCCTGATCATTGACATGGGCATGTGCTGCGCACGAAGTGCTGGACAGTGCTCGTAAGACAGATACATTATATGGGAACAGTGTTAGAGCCAGGTCGGAAAACGGCATGGCATTATTGATAGTTGGTCGTCAGGTGCGCAAGGCCATATAGGCGACGTTATCTCTTCAACTTGTCCGATAAAAAACCTGCGAGTTTGACTCGTGCATATCGATGTGCACGGCAGTGTGAGAGAAGTGTGATCCGCAACGTGTGCCATTCATATGATGCTGTACCCTACGTTGCTCCAGTTCATGTACGATGTTGATGCGCATTGCATCTGTCCGCTAGGCGTGTGAGGTGTCCTGCCCTGGTCGGAGGCGCTATCTTCTGGGTGCCGGGCCTCGACTGCTCTGCAGACGCGTGAGTGATACTGTGTCTTTGAGCACAACATATTCGTATATAGCAATGTAAGGAAATTGCCAAATCACCGAAGATTGTCTATGATGTACTCAAGAAAGGAAAACGTCTATGTGGTCCAACCAAAAGGTACGTTATAGGTATGCAGCCACTTGAACCGCAAGAAGCGGTAACATTGTCTCCCATTCTGTGTATCACTACTTTTCCGTGTAGCCGAGTCCGATTAGCTTAACCGTTGCGTTGGGCATGTCGGCTGCTGGCTGCGCGTTGCGTCGTCTGGCCTGTCGGCGAAACTCTTGGGGAAGGTCGCTGTCTAAGGCGGAAGAGATGTGGCACTGGAGGTATGGATCTAGCGGCAGGAATCCGTCGTGGTCGGTGGGTGTTGTTGGTTGAGGGCTGCATGCTAGCTTGTTGGCTACGCAGCTAGTAATACGCTGGCAAAGCAATAGTGGTATAGCGTAGCTACCTTTGACTTCCTCTGCTGCTTCTGTGCCGCACGTTGAACATTCGCATCTGCTGTTGTCTTTGCTGTATATCATGAGCAGGTTCTGGCAAATGCCTTATAGTCATATTACTCGGGGTACGTGTGTCGCGTCCAATTGCACATTGGTCGAATTCAATGCGTTGTGCCGCATTATTCAGTTGTCTCAGTTGTGGTATGTGCCAAAAGCTGTGCTTTGCTTGTCGTTCGACCTGTTTGCTGAGCATAATAGACGGTGCGTGGGTGTGTTGTGCCACTGTGAGTAAGAGGGCGAGGTTCTGCAGCCTGCAATTAGCACAGCACGTCTTGTCCAGCTAGGAGGCTGGTCGATGCTGTGTGCCCCAGTATTGGTTGTCTGTGTACTGCTCGTCGAAGCAGCGTCCTGCGGTGCAACAGTCCCACCAGCCCTTTAGGGCGTAGGTGGTCTAGAGCGTTTCCTCTGCCAACCCCCCTTCTTTCCCTTCGGGGAGGGGTTTACCCCTCCCCTTACCCCTCCCCACTGACCTGGACGGGGCGTTCCGCGACGCGTTGGGACGCCCAAGATGGCCCAAGACTGCTCCAAGAGCGAAAAGGCGAGAAAGCACAAAACATTGATTTTCCTTAGGTTTTGGAAGGATTTTGGCCTCTTGGGGGGGCCCAAGAGGCGATCCGAGGCACTCTAGAGGGGCGAGGCTAATTGAGGCTCCCCCCTTCTTTGATATATATTCCCAACATGGCCCCAAGAGCGCCCCGAAGGCTCCCAAGAGCGCCCCAAGAGCGCCCCAAGAGCGCCCCAAGAGGGCCCCAAGAGGCGCCCAAGATGCCTCCAAGAGGCTCCCAAGAGACTCCCAAGAGGCCCCAAGAGAATCCAATATGGCCCAAGACGGCTCCAAGAGCGAAAAGGCGAGAAAGCAAAAAACAATGATTTTCTGTAGGTTTTGGACGGGTTTTGGCTTCTTGGGGGGGGGCCCAAGAGGCGACTCGAGGCACTCTAGAGGGGCGGGGCTAATTAAAGCTCCACCCTTCTTTGATAGATCTCCTCCAAGATGGCGCCATGAGCACCCCGAAGGCACCCAAGAGCGCCCCAAGAGCGCCCCAAGAGAACCCCAAGAGGCTCCAAGAGACGCCAAGAGGCGCCCAAGAGGCCTCCAAAAGGCTCCCAAGAGACCCCCAAGAGGCCCCAAGAGGCTCCCAAGATGGCCCAAGAAGGCTCCAAGAGCGAAAATGCGAGAAAGCAAAAAACATTGATTTTCCATAGGTTTTGTAAGGATTTTGGGCCTCTTGGGGAGCCCAAGAGGCGACTCGAGGCACTCTAGAGGGGCAGCGCTAATTGGGGACCCTCCCTTCTTTGATAGATCTCCTCCAAGATGGCCCCAAGAGCGCCTCGAAGGCTCCCAAGAGCGCCCCAAGAGCGTCCCAAGAGGGCCCCAAGAGGCCCCAAAAGGCTCCCAAGAGGCCTCCAAGAGGCCCCCAAGAGACCCCCAAGAGGCCGCAAGAGGCTCCCCGAGATACGCAAGAGGCCCCCGGGACCGCCAAGAGGCCCCAAAGACGGCCCAAGAGGCCCCCAAGCTCGCCATTGTCCTCCCCTCCTCCTCCCTCCTCCTCCTCCTCCTCCTCCTCCTCCTCCTCCTTCTCCTTTTCCTCCTTCTCGTCCTCCTCGTCCTCGCAGTCCTCCATCTCCTCCTCCTGATTTTCCTCCTCCTCCTCCCTCCTCCCTCCTCCCCCTCCCCCTCCTCCTCCTCCTCCTCCTTCTCCTGCTTCTCCTTTTCCTCCTTCTCGTCCTCCTCGTCCTCGCAGTCCTCCATCTCCTCCTCCTTATCTTCCTCCTCCTCCTCCTCCCCCTCCTCCTCCTGCTCCTCCTCCTGCTCCTCCTCTTCCTCCTCCTACTCCGACGACGACGGCTCCTCCTACATCCTCCCCCTCTTGGGGTATATGGCGGCTCACCCCGCCCTTTGTTCTTCTGCATGCTCCCCCGCTTCCCTCATCACCTCCACTCCCCTGGGGCTCATTTCTGGACGGGCTGGTGGGGATACGCGAAGCGTCTAGAATTGTTCACGATGGTTGCTGCTGCGCTTCCTCGCGTGATCCTTGTAAGCAACGTTTCGGTACTTTCCCAATTTGCTAACTCTATGCGCGCGTCGTCGCTCGTACACCTATGCCGATGCAGGTGTAGTGCTGCGTGGTGCAGCTGGTCTCCTGGTGGCGCTGAATGTCGACGGCGTGTCCTGCGCGCTGGAAAAGTAGGAGAATGTATACTGGCTGTGATGTGCTGTCGGGTAGTGGCGTCCTGCCGGATCTGCTGCTCGGTGCGAGTGTCGCCCGCAGCGTCATGTCTTCCAGTAGTTGCCTCGGTTGACGCCGGCATCCTGCTGGTGTGGCGACGTTGAGCGGTGTGGCTGCCGGGTGCGGGTCGTCGTCCCTCGTGGCTGAGGTCGACGAATCAGAATAGGATGTGCGGCCCATGCGTGGCTAGTTTGGACAAGTGCGTGGGTCGACGTGGCTTGAGCTCTGCCTGGTAGTCAATTCTGTCTTGGAGTAGAAGTACAGTGGGGGCCCGACCACAAGAAATCTGCCACAAGAAACCCAACCCTGAGACCCCAGGACGTCCATCGATGTTTGGTGTGGGAACGTCACGATTTCCATCACAAAACCATCGAAACCCAAGAAACCCCGGGCACCCTGGAGGCGAGCAGGGTGTTTCTTGCCATGAGCCCCGTGTAGCCGCGGGTCCGACGTAGGCTTCTCTGGTTGTCGGGGGTGGCGGGTGCAAGCGGCACGTGTGTAGGCCTGGTTGCGCGCTGTGTTGGGCTGCGCTAGGGTAATGCTCGGAATTGGGCCCCATGCCCCTGCTTGGTAGCAGAGGTGGCAGTTGGCAAAAGTGTCTGTCATTATCAGATTTACTGTCAGTGCGCCAGTGTACGCTGTTGAAGTGGGTCGGCTTTAACTGTATAAGTGCAAGATCTTGCTTTGAGAACTGAAAAGCTGCAAGCTGCTCTCACGCTAGCGCTGCACGTCGGCTCGAAGTGGGTGCCGAGGTAGTCGCAGACGCGCGTGATCGTGATGTGGAGATCCCAGGTCGAGCAGTGAATGCTGTCACATGGCTGTGCAAGTAGTCGCTGCTTTGACTGCGTTTTGCCAGGGCCTGCTGGATGCATGGTAAATGAGGATGTGCGTGGCGCGTAGTTGAATTTGAATCCGCACCTCGCGGGCATGGTGCGCGTCGGCCGCTAAGTCGGCCCTGTAGTGTTCGACGAGGTCGCTGGTCTTGCACTGCGCCATGCTGAAAGCAAGGCCAGCTGCGTGTTCTTCTTGCTGGGCGTGGTTTATGTGGAACTTGGAAAGTGGCGGCTGGTTGGGTGTGAGTAGTTTGACGGCGTGAGGTTTGTCGTGCAACCTGCGCGCTGGTGCTTCGAATGGCCTTGCAAATGGGAGGTTGTAGGTGGCGCTAGCTAGACTGATACCAAGCCTGGTACCTTTTATTGGATGTGCGCTGATGCCAGGACTTGTACATGCGAAGTGTTTTGCTCTGTATGGCTCAATGAGCAAAGCCGCCAAATGATGATCGCATTGGCGCCTGTCCATCAACGGCAGGCTGTCCCCCAACGGGGCAGTTCCCCTAGTCGAAAGGACCCTTGTAGAGGACTATGAAGAGGGATCTTGGAGGGAGGGTGTATTTCGACATCGCTGATGAGTCTTGGGTTTACACTGGTCGTCCAGCTTCTCCTGTTCCTCCTCATCCTCATCATCATCATCATCATCATCATCATCATCATCATCATCATCATCATCATCAGCCTCATCATCACAATCATCAGTATCATCATCATCATCATCATCATCATCATCATCATCATCATCATCATCATCATCATCATCAGTATCATCATCATCATCATCATCATCATCATCATCATCATCATCGTCCTGCTCCCCCTCATCATCACCAACACCACCACCACCACCACAACCATCATCATCATCACCACCAGTACCATCATCATCATAATCATCATCAGCATCAGCAGCAGCAGTATCAGCATCAGCATCGTCATCATTATCATCATCAGCATCATAATCAGTATCAGCATCATCATCAACATCATCATCGGCATCAGCGTCATCAACATCATCAGCATCAGCAGCATCGGCACCGTCAGCAGCATCATCAGCATTATCACTAGCAGCATCATAATCGTCATCGTTATCAGTATCATCATCATCAGCATCATCCGCATCGTCACCGTCAGCAGCATCATCAGCATCATCACCATTACCATCGCCATCACCATCACAAGCACCGTCACCATCACCATTACCATCATCATCAACATTAGCATCCTCATCAACAACAACATTATCCGCCATTCCTTCCACCAACACCCACTACCCGCCCTCCCCATTCCCCACCCTCCCCTCGCCCTCCCACCTCTCGTCCCTCCCCTCAGCCCCTCTTCCTCCCCCAGGCACCCCCCCACTCCTCCCCCTCCCCCCACCGCTACCTCTTCACCCCCCACCTAATCACCCCTCCTCCCCAATCCAGCCTCCCCTCCCCTTCCTCCCTCCTCCCCATGTCTGCGCCCTCCCGTCCACCATCCACCACTCCGCACTCCTTCTGTCTGCCTCCCCGGGGCGATGGCGAAACTCGGCATGCTCAGGGGACGAACCGGGGCCGGAAACCTCCCGCGAGGACTCCGCTTTGCCTCCTCTGGCGACACGCGCTCTGGCAAACCGCCGGCACCTGCCTCCCGCCCGCCTCGACGCTGGCGCAGCGCACCCAGCGCTCGAACCGGGAGCAGCTGGGGAGGCCTGGCCGGGGGAGCGGCAGGAAGCGGACGAGGGGCGGGAAGAGCAGGAGGAGAGGAATCGGGAGCGGCCAAGAGGGGGGTGTCCAAGAGGGGGGGGTGCAAATCATGACCGGCGGCATGTGCGCGGCCCAGCGGGGGGGCCAGGGACGTAATGAAATAAGAAGAGGCGCCATGAAACCTGGGGAAATATCATGGCCGCCGCCATGATATCCACCCCCCCTAGTCATCACCCCCCTCTTTTCCGCCCCCGAAGGAGAGGAATACGATACGACCACCGCTGCGGACGCTGTCCGGGCCTAGCTCAGACCAGGTGGGCGAGGCCCTGGCCTCAGGAAGCTGGTGTCGGAACAACACGCAAGGCGAGATGCATAAAAGGTGATATAGAGGAGGGAGAGGTCCTTGGGGTCGGTGTCGGCGCGGAGCTCGGCGTGCTTGCGCGCGTCTGTGTGGGAGGGAGAGGGAGGAGGGAGGGAGGGAAAAGGTACTTGACGCCGATGTCGGCGCTGTGCTCGTTCACGTGCTGGTGTAGTGGTGCTCGCGACTTGACCACGTGATGGTGTCTCGGGCCGTTCGAATCCACGTGAGGTCGTTCGGCTGCCCCTTGTGGCGTGTAGGGGCTGGGGCTGGGTGGAGGTCTGGCCTGCGCTGACGTAGGTGTGCGAGAACTTCACCGTCCCAGCGCTTGTGCTTCAGGGGAAGAGAGGGAGGGAGAGGCCGAGGAGAAGGGGGGAGGAGGTAACGGCCGCTAACACGACAGATGTGCTGACCCTCAGGGGGCTACCCTGAGCTCTGCCCCCATTTCATGCTTCGCCGGCTAAACACACCTGGGCGTGCTCAACCCGCGCCTGCCTCGTGCAGGACCGTCACGTCGTCTTCGCCAGGTCGCATCGCCGTCCTCCTCCAGGACGAGGGCAGAGTACGAGCAAATCGGGTCAGCCGATCCAACTGGTAACCCACCCCCACGCCCTGCCCGCTGAGAGCGAAATTGGAGCGCCAGCCCCGATCCACGGCCTCATGGTCAGATGGAGGGCACTGGCTCTCCAAATAATTGCACCATGGCAGCGCAAGACACCTTAAACAGCATACTATGTCAAATCCCCGAAGAACCCCCCACAGAACCCCTCCGAGAGGGAGACTGTGAGCGTCTCAGCGTGAGAGTGTGGCCAACGCTCAAGCGGGTGCACCATTCCCAATCAGGGATTTGGCCGGCGCTGGATCAAAGATGTGGCCGGCGCTGAACCGAGAGCATCGTTCCTAATCAGGGACCTGGCCGTCGCACGGTTTTACGTCGCAGCGCGGCAGAGTCAATCCGCACGCACGTCCGACTGGTGGCCGTCGCACAGGCGACAGCACCAATCTTGATCAGGGATGTGGCCAGCGCCGAGGCGAAAGCAACGTTCCCAATCAGAAATGTGGCCAACACCTCGCTCGAGGCATTGCGGAGCCCAGAGTTGAGAGGATCTCTCCAGGGAAACGTGCTGGATCACCTCGCGCGCGGCATTTCGAAGGCAAGCGTTGCGGGGATGTCTCACAAAAAGCGGGCCAGACCACCCTCCCGCGCAGAATCTCGGAGCCCGGAACGACGTGGATATATCAGGCGAAGCGGGCAAGCAAATGAACAGTAAACAACAACAACAACAACAACAACAACAACAACAACAACAACAACAACAACAACAACAACAACAACAACAACAACAACAACAACAACAACAACAACAACAACAACAACAACAACAACAACAACAACAACAACAACAACAACAACAACAACAACAACCACAACCACAACCACAACCACAACCACAACAACAGCAACAGCAACAACAACAACAAAAAAAAAAAAAAAAAAAAAAAAAAATGCACTCACTGCTATTGCAGGAGGCCATGCGGGAGACCATGCCAGAGAACATACGGGATATCTAACGGCTGAATATCCTGCAAATCGTACGGAAAACCATAAACTGGGAGAGCATACAGGAAACCAAACGGGAAGCCATACGGGAGACCACACGGGAGACCATACGGGAGACCATACGGGAAACCATGCGGGAGACCGTGCGGGAGACCATACAACAGGGCATACGGGGGACGGAGACCATACGAGAGACCATAAAAGAGGACCATACGGGAAACCATACGGGAGACCGAGGGGGAGACCGTACGGGAGACGATACAAGAGAGCATACTGGAAATCTGACGGGAGAACATTGCAGCAGGCCTTACGGGAAACCACATGGGACACCGTTCGGAAGCCCACACGGGAGACCATCACGGGAGACCATACGGGAGATCGCAAGGGAGACCATGGGGGAGACCGTACAGGAGATCGCAAGGGAGACGGCACGGGAGGCCACACGGGAGACCATACGGGAGAGTATCCAGCAGGCCACAGGGCAGACCACACGGGAGACCAAGCAAGAGAGCATACGGGAGACCATAGGCGAGACCATACGGAAGACCACACGGGAGACCACACGAGATACCATTCGGGAGACCACGCGGGCGACCATGCGGGAAACCGTACGGTAGACCATGCGGGAGCCCAGACGAGAAAACGTACGGGATAATACACGGGAGAGTATTACAACAGACCATACGGGACGCCATAGGGGAGACCATGGGGGAGACCATGCGAGAGATCGCACGGGAGACCACACAGGAGACCATGTGGGAGAGAAGTGTCCAGCAAGCCAGACGGGAAACCATACGGGAGACCATAGGGGAGACCTTCAGGTCCCCGATTCTTGGGGCGGCTACGTCCCGTCTCCTCCCCTGGCCCTTCTCACGAACCAGAGGAAAAGCCCTTTACTGACAGTCTGCTCACAGAGTCTGAACCGAGCTGGTAACCGTGAACAGGCCCTTTCTGCAACCGAGCCGCCCAAACCGGAGCTCAAACCAGACCAGCTGCAATGGAACCAGCCGGGCGGGCCCGAACTGGCCCCCAGGACCGTGGGACCTGGCCCCCAGGATCCGGTCGTCGCTGACGACGGGCATGGAGGGGTCGGGGGAGGCAGGGGCGTAGGGAGAGGTAGGGTGACGGGTCGGGGCTGGTCGGCCAGGAGGGCTCGGGGTCGGGGCCGTCACCTGCCAGGCTTCCACGGGCCCACGACGGACGTCGGCGCCTGGGAGGGGCCAGGGGGCCGCGTTCCGCTCGGCTCGGGTCCAGACCCCCCAGTCCGGACACCCTGGTCCAGGCCCCCTGGTCCAGACCCCAAGGTCCCGACCCCCTGGTCAGCTGGTCCCCTGCCCCCCTCGCCTGGTTCTACCGTCTCCCAGCCGCGCGCTGCGCCAGGGACGAGTGCTGCGCGGCGCGCGGGTGCCGAGGGGAGGAGGGAGCCAACTGAAGAGTCAGAGTGACGCCAGCAGGGCCCCCCCGTCCAGACCTCCTGGTCCAAACCCCCCGTGTCCGGGCCCCCCGCGGTCAGGGCCCCCGGTCTGGCCACCCCGGTCTGGACCCCTCGGTCCTGAGTCAAACCGGGCCGGCGCCGAAACCGAACCGCTGCAACCGAGCTGGCTTCTGCTGGGTTTTTGCCTGAGTCCACTGGCGTGATGTCCTTCACGTTCTCGGCCGCGCCTGGACAAACTCCCCCCCCATGACCACCCAGCCATCACCACTCAATCATCATCACCACCACCCCCATGACTACCATCACCACCACCACCATCATCACCATCATCACCATCATCAACACCATCGACAGCATCATCAATGTCATCGTCATCCTCATCATGAACAGCATCACCACCATCATCACCATTCACATCATCACCACCTCCGCCGTCGCCACCGTCATCATTATAACCAGATAATCTTCACCTTCCTCCTCCCGCGCCATATAGTCCATCCTCCTGACGAAGACCTTATCTCTTGCTGTCGTTCTCGATGTATTCGACGCGATGCGGGAGGGCATGCCAGTGGCCGAAACATCACGGCCATTACTCCTAGAAGAGGCAGAAACATATATGGTTTCTTGATCCGAGGGCGCAAGAGCTGTCATACCAGACACAAACACACAAGACGAAGCAATTACGGCACCCAGAACCAAGCGGAAGGCAGCAATTAACGAACCAAGGTGTGCTGTACCGCATTCCAAGACCGCCGACATCGGAACGCACGCAGCAAAGCCACTGCCACCATGGACACGTAGACTGCGCACCACCCAACCCTTCGGCACAGATGCTCCCAAGCACAAGCTCGACCTCGATGCTGCAAGCTCGACATTTCACGACTCCGCACGTGGAAAAATGCAATCCCTAATCCAACCACCAACCCACGGTCTGTTTCGCCACCGCCAGGGAAGCAGAACTCGGCCAGGTGGCGAACGTGAAAGACCCGCAGCAAGCCCTCTGAACAGGCTGGAGGCCCATGGGTGAGAGGCTTAGACCCTGCAGTTAACAAATAACCCACACTACCACCGTAGCCGAAACTGCGCATCGCCACTCCACGGGTCGCGGGCCACACCAAGAAAAAGGTGTGCTAACAGCCTAGGGAATACCAGCATCAGCAGCCTCAAGATGCATAAAGTTGTTGCCGAAGCGAGTCTCACACCAGTCGGGCACCCTTCGAGCGCAATTCAATAGCTACAAACCCGTAGACGACGATAGAGAACGACATAAAGAGCAACATATGCCCATGCTTTACTAGTACAGGTTGAAGCGAAGCAGCGTAACTTGCTTGTCTCTGGCGTTCACACACAATAACAGTACCCAACCCGCCGTGGGCGCTTAAACGAGCACACCATTCGGTGGTTCAGCAGTGGACCACGCGCGCAAGGAAGCGGGTGGCACAAGGCTTCAGTCAGTGGCGCCTGCCGCGCTTCAGCGTACGGCGTGTGGGTCTCTTTCTGTCGTCGCCGTCCCTCCTCATCCTCGTGTTCCTCCTCCTCCTCCTCCTCCTCCTCCTCATCATCATCATCATCATCATCATCATCATCATCATCATCATCATCATCATCATCATCATCATCATCATCATCATCATCCTCCTACTCCTCCTCCGCCTCCTCTCTCTCTCTCCTCCTCCTCCTCCTCCTCCTCCTCCTCCTCCTCCTTCTCCTCCTGCTCCTGCTGCTTCTCCTGCTCCTCCTCTTCCTCATCCGTCTCCTCCTCCTCCTCCTGATCCTCCTCCTCCTCCTCCTCCTCCTCCTCCTCGCTCCTCCTCATCTCATCATCATCATCATCATCACGCACCACCAACACCACCACCGACCATCAGCAATCAGCATCAGCAGCATCATCTTCATCATCATCATCATCAGCATCATCATCAGCATCATCATCATCATCCTCATCATCCTCATCATCCTCATCATCCTCATATCATCATCATCATCATCATCATCATCATCATCATCATCATCATCATCATCATCATCATCATCATCATCATCATCATCATCATCATCATCATCATCATCATCATCATCATCCTACTCTTCCTCCATTCCTTTTTCTAATGAATAACTCCTCCCTGTCGCACGCACCCCGAAGCCAGCTGGAAGGGTGGGCCAAGCGTTTCGCCCGAGACTTCCTCACAATTTTTGACCCGACAATTTAAAAGTGTCAACAGCTTCACTGATGGGGGGCGGACCGCTTCCAAAATGTGGCTCTCGCATTAGCGCCACGCATACTGGTTTGAAAAATTTGCGGTAGGTTCACGGATTGAGGGCGGGCAGTTGTCTTAATGTCGCTCTCGCCTAGGCGCCGCGCACATTCGTTTCAGAAGTTGGCAAGAGCTTCGCGGTTTGAGACCGGCTTCTTTTCAAAAATTGTGGCTCTCGCCTTAGCGCCGCGCAGTTTCGTGCTAAACATGTACGACAAGAGTTTCACTGGCCCCCCTGGCAAACGTGACAGAAACGATGTTTTGGAACCATTCAGGACTGTCAGGGCGCAACCAATTACTAGATTCGCGGCGTTGCAGCCCTGGGAACGGTGGCACGATTCAGGATCATAGTCAGGTTGATTCGTGGCGTTGAAGTCTCCAGTCTGAATGGTGTTTTGGCACGCTTGAGGATCTTCAAACCGTTGTCTCCCAACGGGCCACCTCTCTCAGTAGAAATGAACTCTTGTATGGAGCCTATGAAGAGGTTGGGGGGAGAGTTACTCCAACGTCGCTGATGAGTCTTGGGTTTACACAGTTCTCCTCCTCCTCCTCCTCCTCCTCCTCCTCCTCCTCCTCCTCCTCCTCCTCATGCTCCGCCCCATCAGCCACCCCCGCCCCCTCCTCAATCCCGCCCCTCCTCCGCTCGCCCTCCCCCGCTTCCCCCTCCTCCTCCCTCCCCGACCCATCATCCACCCCACCCACCCACCCGCATCCATCCCCCCCCCACCTCGAGCCAACTAGCCAGCCAGCGCGCCGGAATTACTGGAAGCCGGCGGTAAACCGTCAACCTTGGTTACCGCCGGGAACTCGTGGAGCTTCCTACGATACACATGAATGGCAGGCGAGCGCGACAGTCTCGCATCTGACGCGAGCGCGCGAGGGTGCCATTCTGCGCGCGATCGCGAGGGTGCTTCACGGCTCCTTGCTTGTCCTCTCCCCCCTCGGCTACACGCAAGAGTGACCCTGGGCAAGAGTGACCTTTGGTGCGCGGCTTTTGGGGGGGCCGCGTGGGGACCAAACCTGGGCGCGCACACCGTTCCTCCTGCTTCGCGTTCAGCCATCTGGGGACCCATCTGTGCCCGCACCAAAGGTCACTCCGGCGAAAGGTCACTCTTGCGTCTGGTCGACCCCCGCTCCTCGCCACGGGGTGCGCGGCCTCCCGGGCCTGCCACCCTCCCGCAGGAGCATGGCGGGAGGCCCTCCGCCATGCGCGGGCCGCGCGCGCCGGGCCGCGCCGCGGGGAGGCCGCCGCGGAGGGGGCGCGCCTCCCCGCCTGCGACGCGCACGTGGCGCGGGAAGGGATGGGGAGGGGAGGGGAGGGGAGGGGAGGGGAGGGAGAAGAGAAGGAGGGGAGGGGAGGGGGGAGAGGAGGGGAAGGGAACGGATGAGGGAAAGGGACGGGACGAGGGAAAGGAGGAGGGAAAGGGAAGGAAGGAGGGGGATGGGTTAGGGGAGGGGAAGGGATGAGGGAGGGGAGGGGGAAGAGGAGGGGGGCAAGCTAGGCGCGCTCACGCCATGCCTGACATCCTACCTTTCCCCGCCCATCCATTTACAGTACGCTGCTTTTCCTCTATCCGCCGACGTGCGTTATGGCGGACCTGGGACTCCAAAGAGGCCCCCGTCGTGTTATGCGCCCTCGGATGAACAAGTGACTTGCGTACATTGGAGGAGGAGGTGGCGGATGAACATGATGATGAGCAGGAGGATTGGGAGGAGGATGACGACGAAAAGCAGCAGCAGCAGCAGCAGCAGCAGCAGCAGCAGCAGCTGGAGTGAAGGAGCGTTAGGAGCAGGAAGACCAGAAAAGGCGGAGAAGGAGAAATCAGAGGGGCGACAACGACATCAAAGGCCTCGGGTCCACAAAAGTGGCCCGCACTGCAGTGAGAGCGCCGCTCTGAACGACGGGAGCAAAGCGCCCATCCGAAATTGAGGCCCACGCTGCAGCGGGAACACCGGCGTGTAAAGAACCATGAGGGACACGTAGCATTCATGATATGAATCATGTGTGATTGTGGAGGAATGGGACTTTGCTGGGTGGCGGGTCCAAAAAAAAAATGTCCGATCGAAAAATACTTCAGTACGGGACGAAAAAAGATCCGGTCAAAAACCTTGCCGGCGCCCCAGGCGCGATCCGTGTGAGGGGCGTGGAAAGATTGGCCTCTGGACGCCGGCTCTCTCGGCAACTGGGAGGCCAACCAGCCAGCCCATAAACCAGCCAACCGGGCCCTCCCTGGTGCATTTTTGCTGGGATGCCCCACACCGATGTGCCCGGATGAGAGAGGAGCGTGACGGATTGGGATGGAAGGGAGTGGACGGAATGGACAGGAAGGGAGGAGTGGATGGAACGGAATGGCGTGGAATGGGATGGAATGGATTGGAGGTGCGCGCGGAGGGGCGTGCGTGCGGGCGGGCGAGGGGGCGGGCGTGCAGACGTGCGGGCGGGCGCACTGTGTTGCGTTGCATTGCATTGCATTTGCATTGCGTTTGCGTTGCGTTTGCACTGAATCGCATTGCATTGCATTGCATTGCATTACATTGCCGTGCGTTGCGTTGCGTTACGTTGCGTTGACTTGCGTTACGTTGCATTGCATTGCATTGCACTGCATTGCACTGCATTGGATTGTATTGCATTCCATTGCATCCTGTTGCGCTCATTGTATTGCACTGTGTTGCATTCGCATTGCATTCGCGGTATATGTCATTGCAATAAACTGCTGAGGGGTGAGGAGGGGAGGGAGAGGGGGGACGAGGGAAGAAGGGAAGGAGGGGAGAGGGAGGAGGGAGGAGGAGGAGTACATCATTGCATTGCAGTGAGGAGGGTAGCGGGGGGG